AAACAGCTGGCCACAATATTATGTACATGTATACGACTCCCTGTGTGTTGCAACTGTGCTTGAAGGGGACTGTTGCACTTTTTGTAGCTCCGCTTTATCTGAGCTTTCAGTCGTTCCTCTTACTAGTCTTGCCAAGGGGGTGGCTCTGGGTCCACCAGAGTTGCCCCTGGCGTATTTCTGAATTTGCTGGGGCGAGGGTTCCGCGACGCGGTCGCCAAGGCAGTGTTTTTTCAGTCACGACCGTTGTCGTCCTCGTCTCTCCATTCGCGGTGGTGTAGCTGACCCCCGAATGGTTTCAAACTGCGAAGCTCGGAGGAGTACAGTGGTGGCAGAGGCATGAGCTGTGAGTGGAGATGGTTGCTGGAGATGGATGGTGATGCAGGGAGAAGAGTTACGCTACCTGACGCCGCGTGGGAAATTGTTTGAACCTGCAATTTCAGTTCGAGCGCGGTGGACTTCTAGACGATGTGTCCTCATGGCTGTTTTTCAACGCTTGGCCTATCGCTGATATCCCTGCGTGGGATGTTCTTCCAGTGGAGTCCAGGTGGGACTTCGGGTGCCCACACTCCATCACCTGGTTGATTGTTTCGGAACTACAAAAATAATTATTGTGTCCTATTTTGTGCGCATCTCTTGTCATCTCTCTTTTCTATACGTCGCACACCAGATGTACTACTATCGCCGTCTTTCTCTTGCTTTCTCTCCCTGCTTGCCGTTTTTTTGTTTCTGTTGCCACTGTCCCTCATCATACCCATGCTTGGGTGGTGGGCGGCGTGACCCGTTAATGTGGCTGCCAATACAGTACGACTCCCTGATGTATAGAGAGACTTTCTGGAAAGAAATAGGGAGACGAGGAGGAAATGAAATTAGAATGGATGTTAGTTGCGGAATAGGTGATAGGATGCGTCAGCAAAAACATACTTTGGAAGAGAGATCCCGTAGTCTCCAAAATAGGCGTGAACGGGCGAGTCAGCGCCGGTCACAGGAAACGTCGGCAGAGTGATCCCGTCGACTCCAGAACGCGCGTGCTCGGCAGAGTCAGCGCCTTCCCAGGAAACATTTCCATCAGTTCCCACAACATGCACGATGAGCTAAGAAACAAAGCATAGCGTAGGGCCCTGAGCTTCCAAGCTCTCTCGTTAATTTTTTTTATTTTTTTAAACCCTAGTGAATTTAGCGATCTACTCATTTTCGCTAAAGTTTCAAGTCGCTAATCCGCTGAGACATTAGTAGTGCACTGGTGATCCGTGAGTATAATCGCTGCAAATCGCTAAAATTTAACATCGCTAACCGGTTGACAATGGGAAAATGCTAAAATTAATATTGGCTAAAATTCCCCGTCCTATAATAGTTGGTTTAGCTGTGCTGTGTTATTGTGAGCAGCGGTGACCCCTCGTTCTTGTACCTTATGTGAAGGTGTTTTAGAGCGAATATTTGTCGATATTTTTGATTTTGGTCCGTATCTAAGGAATGCAACGTTTCTGGACCAAACTGTCATAGTGGGTTAATGAGGTCCACCTAGGGATAAAAGGAGCCCACTTTGAAAGACATCCAAATTTTGGCCATGTCCGGTGATATTTGGTTGTTACAGACATTGACTCAGTGCGGCTTTTCCTCCATAAAATACGGTACATATTTGAACGATAATTTTGACTATGTCGGGGATGCCACACTTGGAGGGAGGAAATTCTGACGGGGGTCGGTGGTGTCCCCCGGTGAAAAGGTTTAGGAAAATGGCTTGCTGTTGGGGCCCTAGAACACATTTGTAACTGTCCACACACATGCAAGCACGCGTGCATTTTACAGCTACATGTACATGTACATGTACAATGACTGGCCAAACGCAACCTGGAAGCGCCGAAGGGCCAACTGGACTAAAAAGCGCTCAAAATAAAATAATCGGTTGTCCCTCTTTGGGAACAAAATCGGTCGGTTTATCCGACAGGCGATCAAAAATCGGACAATTTCCGAAAAACCGGAGCAAGTGGCAGCCTTGCTATGTGTACATGACTTGTGTTTCTGCTTTTCTCTTTCTGTTCAGGTGACATTCGCTATGACACAGTGAACGGCGTAACCAAGGCAACACGTGGTTACATGGTGTACAACAACTGCCAGGCGTATCCCTACTACCTGATCACATATAGGAATGGTGGATAGTGAGCTGCAAACACTACTAATCCGCATGCAACACGTTAACATTGTAAATACTTACATCAGGCTGTGTTTGCTCTCTGGGAGAGAGAGTGAGAGAGAGAGAGAGAGAGAGAGAGAGAGAGAGTGGAAATGACGTTCTTTTACAAGCCATATCAAGTTCTCTATGCAGTGCCGGTGTTGAGACTGTCACACGGACGCTTGACGTGTCAATGTGTTTCTGTGATGGCCTGCTCATCCACTCAGATAGTACCGCAACTCTATTGTTTCTACTGTAGTACATTTTTTAAACAGCAACAGCTCATTCTTCTATCTTTGTAGTACATTTCCATAAATGTTCCATCCGTTGTGGCCGTCGTCTTTGAAATGGCGGTCAACACGCGCAGAACATCACACTACGAATCCTAGCTACCTACAGTTGCAAGCAATGTTTTGTCACTTTATTCTAATCTGCCTTCAGCAGTGTTTCATTGTGATCTTCTTCTGCAAACCGGTAACAGCTGATGGTAGAGTTTGATTTTTTGTCTTGCAGGTATGTCAGTAATGTTTTGTTAATACTGGTAGTAGGTTGTTTCCCGGACTTCTCGTGTGCTCTGGATGCCAGTCATCAGTCAATATACTGTTAAGTGTCAAGTCGGTGGAATAGCGCGAGCTCCAGTGTGAGGAGCGAAACCATTCTAGATTGTTTCCCATGATGTTATTGTGATAGTTATATACATGTAGTTATTGGTTGCGTGGCTGCTTTCTCTCCACTCATCCTACTCACTCAGTATATTAGTAGATTCAGTCAGAATAATGTCATGACTGGATCATATTACAGTCAGTATGCAATACCCCAGTCACGATCCAGAGTTGAAATGTGAACACGGCGATAGAGAGAGACTGAGATGCACGTTATTTCTGACGTGACGCGAAACGTTCAGCTCGCGTTATTTGGCTCGCGCATCCAAAAACACTGATGCGAGTGACCTGCCGCATACAGCTCATGTCGAAATTTGGAGTTTTACGCCATATTTGACGTGAGATTGCGTGTCACGTTGGAAATAACGTACATCCTAACCTCAGTACTAGCTGTAGCTAGTGAGTATTCCTGCATATCGCATGTTCTTTTGCTGCAGACTTTGGGAACGTGACGTGTACGAGTACCTACTGGTACATGTACAGTGCTGGAAACTGAAATCCGACCCCTGCCTGAGCGGTGCGCTCACATCGCAAACACCCAACACGGGATGGTAAAGCTACGAAACAGGGACCGCTAGGGGTTCGGATTTCAGTTGCTAGCACTGTACATAGTCAGTGTATGACCACTGCCCATGACCTGCATGCAGCATGGGGATGAGATGCTCACCGGTTCAGACCTATAGCCTAGGCTAGATCCTCTACTTCAAGAAGGGGATTGGAGGGGTGGGGGGTAACATTGGAAGCCCGGATCAGCAGCTTGTGGGCCTATTTGGTACATGTACTTCAGTAGATCTACCCCAGGGCCACGCATTTGATCGGCGCGGACTCAGGCTAGTCAGACTCAGAGTCAGGACAACGAAGCAACCACGGTCCACGGAGATCGAGGGCTTATGACCCACTGCCCAGGATATGCCACCGACAGCATAGCAGCGCGTAAAAAAAATGCTGCTTGTCTTTTTTTACTGGGTGTCGGGACCAGAGTTTTGTTATCAATGTTAGTAGTATTGTTATTGGGCAGTACAGTGTTGTACGATGTAGGCAGCCAAGCTAGGTTCTCTTAGCGAACACGGTGATGCAGACGGCAGGATGTAGAAGTAAGCAAACGACCCAGTGCTCGCTAACGTCGGTTCACGTCCTGCAGTCGTGCGTACAAGAGCTACAGAGGTGTAACCGCTTTTCAAGAAAATAATTGAATACTACTCGGTGAGTCCAGGACCAAGGAGCCCTATGCCTGTGTCACGTGATTACCAAGCAATCATTCTGCGCTTTGGCACGGTTTGGGTTTGACCGTGACCTGGTGCTGATACAACGGGTCTACGACAGGTCACAGCGAGACAGCTCACAGCGCGACAAGTCACAGCGAGACAAGTCACAGCGAGACAACTCACAGTGTCGTCAACTCACAGTCAAGACAACTCACAACCAAGACAACTCACTGCGCGACAACTCACAGTGTCGACAACTCACAGCGAGGCAACTCACAGCGTCCTTATTTTATGTAATGTTGCGATGAAGACCTGGAGTCCGTGGGGGTTGGTCCTAGTAAAAACCTACAATCATGGTATATGATAATAATAACGCGACGTTCTCGGCACTTCTCTATTTACATGCAATGCAAAGAAGAAAATAACATGTAACTCGGATGGTGAGCCAATTAAACAATTCTGAAAAGAAGAAGGCCAAAATGTTACGAGTTATGACTAACTGTCCACCAACGTAACGAGATCTTATAGAGTCAGCGAGTGCGACAAAATGTGGACACTTAAGTCATAACTCGTAACATTTTGTCCTTCTTCTTTTCACAAGAAAATAACAGAGAACTTTAATCGAGAAAGAAGACAAAGCCTGAACAAGAAGAAGACAGTAATGAAAATAAAGTTAAAATATAAGATAAAATAAAAATAACCTTGAAATTTCCTGTAAGAATCACATAATTATATGAAATGCCAAGTTCGCAGCAACTCCTCATAGAAACTCATCCTTCGTCATGGTCTCAAACGGCCGGAGTATGGCACGAAGTCGCTTGTCCTGATCTTCATACTTCCTCCTCTTCTTCGGAGCCTCATAGCCTGCATTTTCCCTCTCCACACACTGCTCCACCATTGCTTGCTCGACAAAAATACCATCCAGGAATTTCCAAATTGTGGGATGATGACACAGTCGATGGTAGACAAAAACTTGCGGTACAGAACACAATAATTCTGTTGTCCACAGTTTCCGGTCCACTGTCGTAGAGAAGGAAGACGTCCCCACCCTTCGTTTCTTGATAGCGCTCCGGCAACTGGAGGTCTTGCAGTGTGCCTGGGTTCGGCGGAATGTTCTGAACCCGCAGCCGATCGCGGTGTGGCTGTGAATTCTCGCGCTGTGAGCTGGGGTGGCTGTGAGTTGTCTTGGCTGTGACTTGTCTCGCTGTGAGTTGACGACAATGTGAGTTGTCTTGGCTGTGAGTTGACGACACTGTGAGCTGTCGGCTGTGAGTTGTCGCGCTGTGAGCTGTCTCGCGGTGACCTGTCGTGTTCCCAACAGCAGTATGACGAGTATGCATTGCAGGGCCGTGTAACCATGGTAACTGTGAGGATTACTGCGAAGGACTAAAGCCAAAACTGAAAAAAAGGGACCGTCACTTAATTTTTGCCGACCACCCGCCAAAAAAATCTTTTCGTTTCACGTGTCAGACACGTCCGCGTGCGCGCGTACGATCACGACTAGATCGACTAGTCGAGATCGAGTCGACTTGCTACCTTTCACGTCAAGCAATCTGTTCACGCCACATGGCTGGATAGCGCGTACAAGCAAACAATACAATGTCATGATTGCAAAATTAATTTTTACAAGTCCAGCTAGGCGCTAGGCCGAGCTGCTACTGACTGTTGTGAGAGTAGATCTACTGACTCTTTACTCAGTAATGGCAGCTGTCTTTATTTTCGGAGAAACACTACTGGAGTGTCATTGTAGTAAAAAGTAACAATGTATGGCGATAGCATCTAGGAAGGATCGCTACCCTAACGTGAAGGAAAGGCCTTGCGCGGCTGCTCTACGAAGTGTTGAAGGAAAACTCAAAGTTAGTTGCTGGACGAACAACTCGTTGGTGCCGGAAAACTACTGAATTGGCCCCCAACGATGCTGACTTGGTGTTTGGTGAATCATCAAGCATAGTGTCTTGTAGCAGTGTTCACCGAGGAAGGAGAACGCTCTAGCCGCTGCTGTTGTCCGTTTCATCCACGTTGGGCGTTTTAGTACTCCATGGACACACATTAGCATTCTGAGCGATTGTGGAGCCACAGTTTACTTCACACAGCGTTGTATTGTCCACGAGCGCAAACTTCATTATCAGCAGTATTAATTGTTACTCTTCATCCTACATGTAGATTTGGAGTATACACGGCCTTGTCACGACAGCGACAGCTAGCTCTACAGAGTGTTCAAGTGAGAAACATTATTTCAATTGTTGGTGCACGAACAAATCGCTGGTTCCGAAAAACGCGGCCTGCACCGATGGTGTTTGGTGGATCATCAAACAGAGTGACCACTGACCAGTAGTGTTCACCGAGGAAGGAGAATGCACTCGCCACCACTGTCGTCCAATTCATCCAAGTGGGCGTTAGCAGCGCCGCGCCTATTGTGTTTTAGTATTCCATGGACGCACACTAGCGTTCTCAGCGATTGTGGAGCCACAACTTATCTTCACGCAGCGTTGCACTGTCGCACTGTCCAAGAGCACAAACGTCAGCAGTGACCCATCATCATACATGTAGATTTGGAGTATACACACCATGCGCCAATGGGCCTTGGCACAACAGCGGCAGCTCTACGGAATGTTCAAGTGAGAAACATTTGTTTCGACTGTTGGTGGACGAACAAATCGCCAGTGCCGAAAAACGTGGCCTACGCTGATGGTGTTTGAAACATCAAGGGCTCCGGAAGCAGCAGGTGAGCCAGATCAGCCAGTCTTGCCAACTCTCAGTTGACGGACTCCGTGCTGCAGCTAACAGCAATGGCACCAGCCGGAAATATTTTTCCGCCGATACACGTTACTTCCACTTCTGTCAAGTGCATGCCTGCAATCCATTGCCAGGTGATGACTTTTTACTTTGTTTTATTTTGCTGCCGAGTTGTTCAGAACTTTTCAGCCCCGATCTGTCCATGTCTACACTTGTCGGCCATCCGCAAACTTAATGTGGAAGTTGGCGTTACCTACCCGCCGGGCCCAATGACTCTCCTCGCAAGGCTCCTGCCGTGCATCGATAGGTCATCATCGACACAGCGTCATCGCCTGCTCATAACCACTCAACTTCTCAGGGAGATTAGCCGGCATATTGCCTTTCCACGTATGTGGCACCCTCATGACAAGGCCATGCTAAGGGCAAACTGACTGCTTGATTTTAGCTTTACATTACCGCAGTCAGTCCAGCACAATACACCAATCGTATTTCACTATTACTCGCGTGTCATAATTGGGGATATGGGCTGCTCCAGCTGCTCCGCCCAGTATCCCTCAGGGGCGTAGCACCCGCTACGACTGGTACGACCATGGCCGTACCACTTTTCGAAAAGTGTGGTCCGTCTGGAACGTGCAAAACCGTACTAAAAAAATCAGGATCCATCGATGCATACATACATGTATGTACATGTACGAGCATGTATGCGCATCAGCCTGACCAATTTTCTAGACTCGTACACGTAGATCTGTTATGCATCTGCAGTCCGCGTATTGAGTACTGACAGTCTGTACTCGACTCGACTGCACACTGCGCCTGAAGTGTGCCAGAAGAAATCAGCTCGCGCCTGGTCGATGCATGGTTGGCGGTATCCGGCATAGCAAGCTGGTACATCAAGTAGCGCATGGCACATAGAAGATGACACAGCAACAACATAGCTCAATTGCGACGTACGTTTCATCCCCGCTGGACTCATC